AAGAAAAAAAAAAAAAAAGTATATTTAAAAAAAATAAAAATAAAAAAAATAATAAAAAAAAATAATGGATGCCTGGACAAATAAAATGACAAGCTTTAATCGTGATCTGGTTGGTAGAACAGATACAAGATCAGGATAAAATAACATGAAATACAGTATTTTGTATTATATACTGTAACAGCACAGTATTGGATTTTTTTCAGATTGCAATGTGGTTTTGTTTTAATAAATATTGGGGTATTTATGAAACAAAAAAGGATGTCTTAGTCCAAGAAAGAGAAATTTGATTCAGCACAATTTCAGTCAGACTAAGATGTTTACATGTACTTTTAAAAGTCCTGTTTTAGTCAGATCACAATAATTTGATTTTCTTAATATACATGTAAACTTTACTGACTGCGATGAACTGGCCAGCCAAAAGACAAATTGTGCCTTTAATCAAAGACTGAGAAATCTTGTAACTGCTTCAGGCTTTACTGCTGTACTACTAGATTTATTTAGAAAGAAGTATAATATTTTCAGACATTCCTGTTATTTATAATCTGCAAATCCTTAGGGAAGAATTACATTGCAGAGTAGCTTCGATCAGGCCCTTAAATATGTTTCTGCCAGGTGTGTGCCTTTGGGCTAACTGTGTGTGCTTTTTGGATAGGTGAGCGACGTCAATGACGATGTCAGACGGGCCGCAGTGGAGTCAATCGGGTTTATCTTGTTCAGGTATGGTCCATTTCACCTACTGTCATACCACTTTCCACCACTGGGTTGCTGCTTCTGCGTTTTGATTCCTCTGCTGTGGCATGCTTTGGTAATTGTTCTAAGTATGTGTACACAAAGCAAATTCCATTCATGGTTTAGAAATACTTTCCAAATTTGTGTGGAAAGTGTCATATAGATCCAATCATTCATTTTATCTCCTGTTTTTAACATTCCAAATCAGCTTCAGACATCATTTCCTTACCCCACAAATGCTTCTTCTGAAAGTGGGTTTTTCCCCTCTGGGTTTTGGCTCATGTAAAAACCGAAACATTAGTACCTCCCGGTGTTTTCATTTGGTTTGTGGTAATTATGCTTGGTACTTCCAGTGTTTTCAAATTGGCTGGTCTCACAGATTGTCTTGTGGACACCTCATGGGTCGACATTAAGTCTGTTAGTTGGGCTTGGCACGCTAGTCTCATTTCAGCTTTCTCTTCTGTGCTTAATGCTGGGAGAGAGTGTCATTCAAATGCTGGGAGATTATTATGAATCTTTATAATAATATTGTGCCTGGACATAGGGGGGTGATGCAGAGGCTGTGTACCCCCCAGTGTAATAGGGTGCCAGTGTTTGTATTTCTGTATCTTCTCAAACGGTCCTTGGGGCTCTCCATCTTGTCCACATTTTTTCTCCCTCCCAGCTCCCTCTCTCTGGGCATGCCCGAGAACCAAGTTGTGAAACACTGCTCTAAATGACTGGTGTCCTGTTCCGAGTATCCCCTTCCCTGTTTGGTCCAGGCTTGCTTTGCTTGCTTTAGTGTTGCTCCGCATACACATTTGTGGAAAGTGGATGGATATGGGCAGAGGGGCTTGCCCATCGTTTTCCCACACTGGCTCTGCAGTAACTCTGTGTACTGTAAAACAGGGTGACTGTCGCGTTCTGCCTCAGTAGACCACACAGGATTATTGATAAGGGATCAGTGTACGCACAGCCTGTGTTCCGGCAGGACATTGTATCCACTCTCCATGGAATGGTGAGAGTGTGGCGGGGAAGTTTATCATGGAAATATGCTCTGCTTCTGCTTTGCCTCTTCATCTCATGTTCCCCTTTGCTGTTTATATCATCCCATCCTTCATCTTTCCGTCTAAATTCCCACACTGGACTGCAGAAAGGTATTAAACATCATCCCGGGCCAAACTGAAGAACAGTGGACCTATTTTAAGCCCAAAAAAGGCTATGCGATATTGTTGTTGTGATCAATCGGCTGTAAGACAAACCCATTGTAAATCTTAGTGGTGTTTAGAAAGTCTTAACAGTAACCCTTCAGATGAGCTGGGCTGGGATGTCACAGAGATGTCTCGATTCATACACCTAAGCAATCTTTCTTTAATGACATGGATTCTGCCATGTTTCCATTAGCAAGGAGACCCTTTGCATCAAACCAAGCGCTCCCTTTTTTCACCTAAGCTGCATCAACAAATGACAGGACTGCATTGCACCATATGACTGGAAATGGGGGCAGAAAAACAGGTGTTATAATAAAGAGCTGGACCCTCTCTACGCGCTCGCATCTGCACAGCACTCGCTCGCTCGACAGGATGAATTTTGACACTTTGGAGGCGGGATCAGTGGCTATATCTCCGCTCCTTTGATTGGTTTTTTAAAATATTGACTAAGATTGGCTATTTGCTTTGATAGAAGATGAAAATAACTTGTCACTGACCGCGGTTAAGTTAGCCTCATATGGATTTTCATATTATTTTTGTCTAATAGTTATTAATTATTATATTGCATCAACTTAAAGTGCAATGGAGCAACAACTAAGGGGTTAATAGCTCTAAAACAAAACGGGACAGCCATGTCCTATGGAGTGTGCTTTCATCAGTGGACTCTGGGGGATAATGCACACCCCTTGGATTTTCAAGATCACTTTAATGTGACGAAACACGTAATCAAACAATTCAACTGTGGTACATTTGCTTTGTCCCATGGTGCACTGCCTAAATCACACTTTACAACTAATTTATGGATTAATTTGTGTTATCAATTAACTGTCAATATGTATGAAATGGAGCAATGGCATGTAATATGCATACAATGTGTTAATAACTGTTAGAGAGAAAGTTATTCTGAAAATCCAAGGGGTGTGCATTGTTCCCTGTAGTCCACTGATCAAAGCACACTCCACTAGATGTGCCTGTCTTGTCTAGTTTTAAAGTTACTAACCCATTCATGTATTGTGCCATTGCACATTATATGGATACATTCAAACATTAAGCCCAAAATGCTAAACCATCATGTCATTACAGCTGAAAGAACATATAATATTAGCTATTAACACGATTTTGCACAAATCACGAAATGGTTTGAAGCACAAAAATAAGTACTGGACATATGTACTTGTCTATGTACTGGACATCACGATTCTGTCATTAAAAACGCCCCACCTTACTTCCATTAAAAGTTATTAAAGCCCTAAAACTGGATATCGAATATGAGGCTAACTTAACCGCGGTCAGTGACACGTTATCTTCATCTTCTACCAAAGCAAATAGCCAATCATAGTCAATATTTTAAAAAACCAATCAAAGGAGCGGAGATATTAGCCACTGTTCCCGCCTCCAAAGTGTCAAAATTCATCCTGTGAAGCGAGCGAGTGCCGTGCAGATGCGAGCACGTAGAGAGGGTCCAGCGAACGCGATCGCGTAGAGAGGATGGGTTTTCAGGTTCGACTTTTGGCACTAATGTAACGCCGATCGAGCGAGCAAGCGAGTGCTGTGCAAACGCGAGCATGTAGAGAGGATGGGTTTTCCGCTCACGAGCGCATATGCGCGCGTGGTTTTTATTCGCACGAGTTTTGGCACTAATTTAACGGCATATGACAGTCCCATTTCAGTAACGGTCATATCGTTAGTGGTGCAACGATGTGGAAATTTTGACCGATAGTGATAACCGGTATATTTTTGTCTAATATCATCGATTGTAATACCTGCTACCCTCTGAGCGACTTGCCAGGTGTGAGAGGAGAGGGGTTACCAACGGTGAAACTTGCTCCACACATTAGTGAAATTATGTCCTTTTTATGCTGTGGAAAATATATGATCAATGGAATGTAAGGTGCTTTGAGACCTCCAGTATGAATGAGCCGATTAAATCCATCTTCTCCACTATGAAAAATGTCTGATCATCCAATGCAGTCATCTGTTATTTCAATACAGTCATGCACCGCAATAGGACATTTTGGTCAATGATGGACTATATATATGACGGTGGTCCCATAAAATTATACTGTAACGGCTGAAAAATTCCTATTGCCTAGTGATGTCATAGTGCAACACTGTTTTTGCTGATGCACTAGATTAGCGGAATGGCATTACATTTGTTTTCCACAGAATATAAAACAAAGATCGATCTGTGGGCCAGATTTAATAATGAATCATAAAGCTGTCACGGACTGATGCATTGAGACATTATATAAAAGGTGAATGAGCCAATGAAATCCTGCATCCTGCACTATGCAATGTTTAAGTCCCTCTTTCGTTCTTGTTTTCAAGTAACCTAGCAAAAGTAGTTCCAATGTTGCCTAATTCAGTGTGGGAGTGCTGAATGGTCTTCCTGGGAATTCTGTACTGTAAGTAGTCCTGCCATTCTGTGGCCTGACGAAACCACTGGTCATGGTCCAGTAGCCACATGGGCAGAGGTGGAAAGTTCAGGTCCAGAAAGTACAAATCCAGACCAAGGTTTTGTTTCACCCAACCAGTTGAGCACACTGTGATGGGTGAATCTTTATACTCAGCTGGTTAGACCCAATGGGCCTGAATTTTCCTTCTCTACACATGGATGCCTTTGTTGGCCAGCATTCCCAGCTGGGGTAATTTGTGCCAGCCACATCATGCATTCTTTGGTTGTTCATTATGACAAAAATTAGAATTGATAGATGGCTGAAATGCACAGAATTTCTGAAATGGATTATAAACGGGCAGTAATTATTTGGATCGTGTTCTAGATGAAGGTTCTTCCCTCCTCCATACTTTGGGATGTGATCCATGAACTGTACGTAGCTGTCGGTCCGCCGAAGGGCACCCTCTTCAGTTAGCTAACCACTGGAGAACATCTCGCATGAGTAGTAATGTGTGACATCAGTGTTCTGGCCTTGAAAACGTGGACTCCGTAAACATGTCTGGAAGTTTGTTTGGATTTCTTAATTTGAAACTGACTTAACCCATAAACTCCCCTTGGAGGCCACTTTTTATGATAAGGTACAGTGACCACTGCTGAATAAAGTGCAAGGAAACCCAAGACGATGTTTATGTTGACAAAAGTGAAATTGTTATACAATTTTTTTTTTTTTTCCTTTCCGAAAACCAAGTGCTTTTTATGTTTTTTGGACCATCTTATGTGCTGCATATTTTACCATGTGCATTATTTGTAAAAGCATGTTTGCACTTGTCTCTGAAATCTGATTCCATAGATTTGATACTTGTGACCCGGCAAGGCTGTTACCGATTGGCGGAGGCCCCCCTTTAGCGTCGGGATTACTACTGCGGTGTCTGAACCCATCGCCCAGAGCACTGAGGAAGGCAGGAAGGTTATTGTGTTTGAGGCATTACCCAGTGTTGTTCATGACAGCCCTTTTCCAGGTAATGTCAGAGGGTCTGTAGGACAGCATATTGACTCGGCACACCAGAAAATTAATTGTGGCAATATAAATCTACATCCAGAGCTTATAGGGCTGCTGTCAAAGGGCCCTGGCTAGGCACCATGCCCACTATGGTGGGAAAAGCACAAATTTTATTTGCTTCTCGAGATGAAACTCATAGTAACTTTTTCATGTCTTGGTGAATCATCTGTTCCATCATCTGCTTGCCATTTCCTAGTCCTGTAAGGCTCAGTTTGTATCCTGTTACTGCCTTCTGAAAGCTACAGGTAGCTGACCTGTTCTTCTGCTTTGCTGCCGATCTCTTTGAGGGGCAGAGTGTCCAGCAGGATGCTGGGAGGGGGGGCTATGGGTGCCGGTCGCCGCCGGAGTGGGCTCTGGTATGTTGCGGGGTTTATACCATTCTTCATGAACAGCTTGGAGTTCTCAGCCACGGAAGAGTGGAAGGAGATCTTGCCGTGGCACTGGCGGGCCACCTTGGGGGGGGGCGCGCTGCCATAGTCACACGTGATGTAGCGGCTGAAAGCCTGTCGGAAAGTTTTGTTGAACAGGGTGTAGACCAGGGGGTTTATGCCTGAGGAGACGTAGCCCACCCACACAAAGATCTCCATCAGCCTGCCCACAACATTTTTGTCACAGCTGTGGCAAAGGACGGAGGTGACGTTGGTGATGAAGAAGGGGCACCACATGACAACGAAGAGCAGAAAGACGATCCCCAGGACCTTAGAGGCCCTCTGCTCGTTGCTGAGGTTCTGCATGGATTTCTTGCCCATGGTGGACATCCTTCGGATAGGCACCTCGTCCCTGGTGTCCTGGTCACCGTGGCTGGGCGTCTGCTTGCTCCAGGGGCTGTCCAGCCCAGCTGCCCTCCCTGGCCATGGTTCCTTAGGTAGCTCCTTCTGGAGGACGGAGGAGATGGTGTGTCTGCTGAGGCAGTGGGACACCCTGGCCCTCAGGCGACAGGCTTTCTTCCTCAGCACGAGGATGGTGAGCAGGTAGATGACCATCATGATGGTGAGCGGTATGAAGAACGCTGCCAGTGAGCCAAAGACAATGAAGTCATGGAAGCTGTCAGGCTTGAGCACGCACGCGTGGCTGTCGCTGAACGTGATGTTATTTGGAAGAGAGGAGTTCCTCAGCCCGATGATGGGAATGGGAATCGCTATACCTGCAAGAGAGCAGATCCCATCATTTTTCTTGTGATTTGTGCAGTACGTGCAGTGACAGAAAGCAACTAGTTTGTCTATCGCACTGGCAGTTATTTTGGGGATCTGTGTTCACCTACAATTCACAATCTTTAGGTCTTGTGTCCGTTAATTCTTCTTGTGAGCTTTAGAAGTGTAATACAAGCAGTAATGAAGGAAATGACTGGTGGTACCATCAGCAAACCATTTGGGGCTCTCTGTCTACCTATTCAATGTGGCATATGCTTCAGAAGGCAGGATCAGACAGTCCCAGGAGAAATTGGGGTAAAGGGCCTTGCTTAGGTGCACGAAGCTTAAATCGTACTGCCGCCCCTGGGATTTGACCTGGTGACCTTCCAGTCACAGGCACACCGTGCTGAGCCACTGAGCCGCAAACCACCCCCATGTCATGTCTTCTGTTTGCTTACAGCTGCAGATGCAGTTGGGCTCTTGAAACAATGTCGTAAGGCAGTTTTCCCCCTGGAAAATAACTGCCTAAAACCGTCAAACACTGTAAACAGGCCATTAATACCTGATCCTTATTAAATATAACTTTAACAATGCAGTGAACTTCTACTCCATTACTGGCATTGACCTCATCTGAATATAATTACTTTCCACTTATCTGGTGATGTGTGGTGAAGTGCTTGGTCAGGAGACATTGTGCTCAGACAGCTAGTAAAAGCTTGTATATTCTTCTGTTCACAGGCTGTATTAATCAGACTGCATTTTGGGTCTGTTTTTGAAGTCTGTGTGAGACAAAGCGATTTTCCATTGTACCAGGTAACGCATGTTTGGTCAGTGGTAGTACTTGTGTGTGTTTTCCATTCGTGTGGAAAAACTGGTACTAGCAGAGAATGACATCATCACAAAGTATTTTATAATAAATTCAAAAATGCCTATTATAGTATTTTATAGATCTGGGTGATTTGTGATATTAAAATTGACATGTTCTCATGCAGTTCTCACATGGGGGGGGAGGTTAAGTTTTGCTAAAACATTCTTAATCTGTCATAAGAAACACAACTTGGCAAGCGATGCAGTTTTAATGATGGTTCCTTTTCAAGATTATCTAGTGCATGTAAAAAAATCAGTTTAATGTCGCCGCTTTCGTATGAGCTTTGCATGCGCTCAACACCACCAATTTGACTGACACCATAGATAAGTTCTATTTGGTTATAGTTTATTTTGGCTAAATTAACTCATTTTTTGCTTTATAAATATCACAAAGGAGTCACAAAATCATATTTTAAATTTTTCCAATATTGTGCAACCCTATAGTGGCTTTTTTTTTTCTTATCATGCCATTGAATTCTTGTCATCTTGAATCTGTTCTGTTCTTCCAGTCAGATCACAGTGAAAACTTGGGTCTTCATTTGTCCATACATCCATTATTGTTACTTGTTTTTTTTTTTTTTAATAAATCGTGATTTTCTAAGTTTGCAACTACACGTTTTCAAGACGGCGGTTGTATTGCGTTTGAAGACGGGTTGTTTGCATAACCAATTGACAATAAACATATTTAAGATAAAGCTACAGGCTTTCCCTGGGTGGGGATGCCTTAGCCTCTGCCAGCATGCTTTGTGGAAATAAGCTGCCCTCATTTTAATCCTGCACCAAAGCCTGTGATAAGCTTTCACACTGCTTTGAAATCTTTAATTCTAAATCAAATCAAAATCCCAGAGACTCTAATAGAATAATTTTTCTGCAGTTAACGTTTTGCATTTTAAGAGGTGGGTCGTTGATCCTTTTATCTATAGCACTGCCATAAGCTGTGTTGTATATATGAGGACAGGTCATGTATAGGGGAATCCATGTGAAAATGGATGTTGTTTTGAGGAGGTTCTAAAAACATGCTTCAGGAATATTGGTTGTTTCTCGGTTAGGGGAAGGTCTTGAATAGAGACATTGCAGTCTTACAGTTTGCTTGGTTTATAAAACATACTCACCGATGGATATGAGCCACACCACAGCAATTTTCATCATGGCTTTGGCCCTGGACTTGAACTGGCTGTGCTGGATGGGCCTCTTGATGGCGACATAGCGGTCCAGAGAGATAGCACACAGGTGCATGATGGAGGCAGTGGAGAACAGCACATCCAGGAAGAGCCAGATAGGGCAGAGGAACTCTGGGAGGGGCCAGCCAGAGTCTATGGTGAGGCGGGGTGGGGGGGGGGGGAGACAGGGAAAGAGAGGCACTCGTCATCATGTGTTCAAAAATGACCAGCACTCGTGCTGTACAGAGTAACACAGGCACCTGATACAGAAATGACCTAATGAAGTAATCACTAATGCTGGGGAAATAAGCAGAGGTTAGGTCAGTCATATTTCTGTGAGATTCCTTTGATTTAGTGACCATGAACTAGTGTGACGTTGCTATTTAGGCTTATGTTTGTCCCAACTCAACAGAGCAAAGGCTGCCTGAACAGTCAATTTAGTTGAAGTCTGTTCAACGCTGGTTGTCCTTCTGGCCCATACTTAATTTTTCTGTATTCTCAAAGATCCCCTGATCTGTATGTCCTGATCCTCCCCTTCAGTTAGCCAGGGCAAGCAAGCGCTCACTCCACTGAGTCTTCACTGCTGGCATGAAGTGTTTAATTGTGCTGGTGAGGAGAGCTGAGCATTGCATGTCTCTAACAAGAGCGATGGGAATGCTTTGTAGATGGGAAGAGTGAGGAATGGGAATATCCAGAAGTGTGCAGTGAGGGCCAGGTCACAATGAAGGCGTGAGTCATCACGGATAGAAGCGGGAAACATCCATGTCATTACAGCTTTTATTGTTGATGTGAAATGCAAACGGAAGGTTAGTAAGGCCTTGATGGGATTTCTGCACGTCCTGTTGAATAACCAGATTGTTCAGTAATAGACTGAGTGATCATTGCTTTTGATTTTTGACAACAGTGTGACCATGCATATTAGGTCCATTTGGCAGTGTTGGTGTTTGAAATGGAACCTTTTGTATGTGAGCTCTGTAACATCATTTGGGAAGATTTAGTTAACCATATTAAGATATTTCTTTTCACATTTGTAAATAGCTTTAATGTGCTTACAGGAGTTGGTAGTTCTCTCTCCATATATCCTGTATTTATGACACCAACAGAAGCTTTTGTTACCCGGATCTTTGAACGGTCTTTTAACCTGCAGTTGTATCATTATCAGGCCATTTGCATGATGGTGATTTGGTGATGTTCTTTCATCAGCATTGCTGTCTGTGTCCTGCCCTTGAGCAGATCGAGATCAGTAGTTTCTGTAGTGCTCTGGCCTCAAAAAGATGCTCAAAGCTGAATGGCATATTGCTGTCAGTCCTCCCTGGAGCTGCACCCCGTGCCACCTGTTGCTGCTGCTTTTGGTTGCAGGATGGCATGTGCAGTCTGAGCTGCTGCAGAAGGTCGCATTGCCCTCCCGGCAGCGTACCTCTCCGCGCTGTCTGATGTCTCAAGAGCTTGACAAAATGCCAAATGCCTATTTGTCCAGCAGATCGTCAGTCCATACTCACTTCTAAAGATCAAACTGGGCATCATACCAAGTGTTACTAATTCCACTCTGTAAGTTACTAGCTGTTTTAATTTCATATTAATATTAACCTGACAATGTAAAATAGTTTATTTATGCTGCTGGGAATGATGGATGATGGAGTTATTTCTTACTGGGCAAAGTGTACCAGCAAAGTGGGGGTTTTAAGGGAAACAATGGGACAGTTGTTTAAGGAGTTATTACAACAAAAGTGGGCTGTTATTTTTCCACAGGAATGTTAATGTGGTGTCTGCTGTGTAGAGAGTGACATGGAGGAAGCGTTTGGATATGTGAATGAGTCCTTGCTGACAGACTGGACTGAAGCCAGTTGGTGCTGGTTTAAGCTAATTCATAGTCTCTTCACCAGCAGACTTTTCTCAAAGCCTCATGTTACTTCAGCCGTAAATGACAGATCAGTCATGGCTCCTACACTCACAAGAAGGTGGTCATGTATTTTATTTTGCTAAATGCTTCCTTCTCTTAAGTTAGCAGGCTGTGGTAGAGCCATGACCTAAAATCCATAATGCGGGGGAATATAAAGAGACTTGGCCAGCAGAGCACGTCAGGGCAGGAGTGTACTGGTCTTCGGCTGAGCTCTCAGCTTGGCGCCGTGAGTATTCTGATCTTCTGCTGTGCTCTTGGCTTAAGAATCTTGAGCGTACTGGTCTTCAGCTTTGCTCTCAGCTTGGGTGCCTCGAGTGTACTGGTCTTCAGCTTTGCTCTCTGCTTGGGTGTCTCAAGTGTACTGGTCTTCAGCTTTGCTCTTGGCTTGGGTGTCTCGAGTGTACTGGTCTTTGGCTTGGCTCTCGGGGGTTTGAAGCCTGTCCCCTGGTCCCTATGTGTAGAGCCTGCATGTCCTCCTTCATGCTTCCTCCCACAGTCCAGTCATCTACTTCTGGTAATTGGTCTCTCGAGGCTTGTCCTGCATTAGAATGGACTATCTTTCTATGTATTTGATTTCTGGCCTTGTCTTGTGTGTATTTTATTTCCAATGGATATACTCCTACTTGAGTTGTAGGAAAGTAAATAATGTTTGCTTGTAAAAGCTCAGCAACCCCCTTGTTGTGTTTGGTTGTGTAATTGTGATGTTTATTGACTTCCTCAATCCATCCTTTCCAGTATACCCAGTAGGTTTGCCCTGTGGGCCTTCTAAGTGGAAATAGTTAGCAAACTAATGGTGATTTCACTCTAGTGAAGAATGGGTATTCCGATGTGTACGTGCAGTTTTTGGCCAGTTTGTATGGCCTGTAGTGTAAGCTCTTAAGGGAAGGTGCACACTGTACCTGCCTCAGGCCATCTGGTCTGTACGCATTGCAGCGTTTGATTTCGAAGGTCTGATATAATCGGCCTTTTTGTTCATGGAGGGGCTGCATGAATGGACCACTGCCACATCTCATCGAATCCAAATAAGCGGGAGTAACGGCTCATTTGGGTATTGGTGATAGACCGGAGGTCGAGCTGAATTTTTTTTTTTTGTATTTGAGACTGGGGAGTCTCATCCAGACACAGAGCAGGATGGCTTGCTATACTGAAAGAGAGTGACCCTCTGTATGTACATGGAGTGTCCGGCTGATATTTACCTGCCCGTGTGAGCGGAGCCTGAGTCACACAATGGTATGCGCGCTGGCCTTTCTCAGGCTCACGCACCCAGACGCATTGCTCTGCAACTTTTTTCCAGTTCATTTTTTTTTTGTGTGTGTTTGGCAGAAATTTACAAGTGTTCGTTTGAACTTCTGAGTTCACAGTCTTGCTCCAGCATACCACAGCTGGGATCTTTGATCAGCTCCTTCCCTTGTTCCTACTTGGGAGTGAGGTCTGCTTTTTATTGTGGCACTTGGTTATTGAAGGCAATCATGCTCTGTTTATTCCATTTGGAGACCCCCTCTCTCCCCCTTTGTATACATCTTCTGCTAGTGACTCCATGATACCCACAATCCTCTGATGCAGGGGAGGCGGTATGCGAAGCATGCAGCTATGCTTATTTATGCAGATGATTGCATGCATACAGATAATTATCTCGTTAGCATGGCGTCCAGCTGAGAAGATGGATTGTCTGCAGGTGTAATACAACTTTCCATCTGAATAAAATTAACCACTTGGAAATCAGCGCAACTTGCCCCGGAAATGGAATTAAAAAGGCAAAGTAAGTGTATGGCTGGAAAAAAACAATTTTTGATAATTAATTAATCATGTGATCAAGCAGTCAACTAATTGATTAGTTGGGGCAAAACACAGGGTTTAAAGAGAACTGCAAATGCTTTATAAAAAAAACGAAGTATTTTTAAGTCACCGTTGTAATACAACCTTTACACTGTGTAGAGAATCTTTGTGTCAAATTTTATTTTATTTTCTATATAGCGCCAGATCACAACAGAAGTCATTTAAGGCTACCTTTCCTACAGGAACAGGTCTATGTATTGTCATTTTATTAAACAAACTAAATAACCTTATGTTATTTATCTTATTTACACAACAGCTTGTCATTTTTTTATTACCAATTATTATTGATGTAATCCATTAGCTGCTGCAGCCCTAAGCAAGTGTCTTGACCTTGTGGCGTGACCACGGGCGCGTACTTACTGAAGAGCACGGTGACTAGGGCGATGGGCATCACCAGCAGCCCCACCAGCAGGTCGGCCACCGCCAGTGACATTAGGAAGTAGTTAGTGGCGTTCTGCAGCTTCTTCTCCAAGGAGACTGCAAGAATGACCAGAATGTTGCCCCCGATGGTGGGGAGGATGACGACAATGATGAGCAGCGAGGCCCAGTGCAACTCGCCACCTTCCCCTGCTGCAGAGCCATTAATGAGGCCTGAGGCGTCGGGTGCCAGTGAGGGCATCTAGTGGTGGGATCTGTCACTGTGGCCAGCTGGTGTGTGAGTAGGGGCTCTGCTCTGGCTTCCTCAGGGGACACGGCCAGCATGATCACCGGGGCCCACAGGTTGGGGGGTGGGGGGGGCACTTTTGATGGTCCTGCTTATGGGGAGTGCATCTCCTGGATGTGAGTTGAAATACTCTAGCCAGGTGTCGCTCTTGACTGAAAGTGCCTGTAATCCGTCAACACGTTGTACTTCCACAGGTAAGCAAATAAAGTCCCTTGGCTTGCTTCATAGGCGGTCGCGTGTTGCCCCGCTGCTCAGGCTTGTGCGCTCGTCTTGACCTGGAGACAGGACACCACATCCATCATGCTTGCTGCACATTTACTCTGATGTGTCTGACTCACGGAAGAAGTGAAACATGAAAACCACTTGTAAATGACACCTGAATGAGCTGCCTTGTTAACTTTCATTTGCTCTGTGGGAGTTTTGGACTGAATTCTTTATTTTTAATAGATTCATATATTATTTTTAGTAGATTCTCTTCATTTACTTTTAGTGCAGTCTGTAAGCATATTGTGTTGTCCCTGTGCTCTGTGTTATTGGGGCTGGGTTGTTCCTTGTAGATTTCAAGCGTGGGAAAGTGATCTAGTGCTTTTATTGCATTGTTGATACTGATAGAAAGACTTCATTTACGCTGCTTTTATTGCAGTAACCATGCAGCTTCACATTTCAAGTGCATTAGATGTAATGTGAATGTAACAGTTTTCCAGGATGCTCATTCAGTGCTTTGATTCAGTGCAGATACTCCTGTAACTGCCCTTGCTGAAAAGGTTTTACTGGTGTTTACTGTGAAATTCTAGCTACCAATACGCAGTGCAGTTAGCTTATGGGAATCTGTAAAATGTAGCGGATGTAAACATTTTATACAATTAGCTTGCTCTCAATGACATTTTCTTACCTCCATTTAGAGCTTAAATGTGGTGTCAGGATGTAATTGAGAGTCTTTCTTACCTGGGATGTCCTCTGGCTCACAGTTCAGGGTCAGGCTTCATCTTCAGGATATATCAGATCTGGAGTTCAGATCATTCTCACAGACTGTACATCCCTCTGTGCCCAGTGAATGATGAGCATTCCGTGATCCTGTTTGTCCCAGATTCCTATATTCTCACCAGATTTCTTAATTCTGTCTGATCCACAATCCCTGTATTCTCACCAGATTTCTTGATTCTCTTTGATCCACATTCCCTGTACTCTCGCTGGATTTTTTTGGTCCTGTAGCAGATTCTCTGTATTCTCAATGGATGTCTTGATTCTGTCTGATCCACATCCCCCTTATTCTCCTTTGATTTGTAATTCTGGCTGCCCTGATTTCGGTATCTCACTGGATTTCTTGATTCTCTTTGAGCCACGTTCCCTGTATCTCTTCTAGGCTTTCTCTTTGGCTCAGAGGATCCTCAGATGATTCTGTCATTGCAGCTCATAACTTCTGAGTTTCTCTTTGTGTCCTTTTCCCTCTCTCTACCTCCCTCTCTCCCTCTCCCTCTCCCTCCC